CTCTGCATACACAACTTGGAGTGGTCAGGACTATACTGTTTCACACAGTCTAAGCAAGCCTCTTAGTTTTTTTTCTTTCAAAAAAGGCAAATACCAAATGTAAGAAAGCTACCTACTCAGCAGAATAATTTGCCCCTCACTTCAGGCCTTATGTTTCTTAATTAAGATAGTAGCAACATAGCAATCAAGATTATTTTCAGCTATAGACCATTTGAAAAAGCGTGACTCACATAACCCAATTACTGCCACTACTGTCTAACAATTTTTTTTTTTTTTTTTTTTTTTTTGCTGGGGAACAGCTCTTATCTAGACAAGGATAAAAATGAGTATTTCCTCAGTACATAGCTGTCCAGATGGTGTTGAACATATTTCTAATGTTCTGCAGATCATGACCAAGTTGGAGACTTCTCAGGCTTGGTATCCAGTATCCAAGGCAGAAAACTGTTAAAACCTTGCAACTGAAATCTAATAGGAAATGCAGCTTATCCAAGAATGAGTACTTAAGGCAGGATTATTGGCTCACCCCATTCTCAGTGGGAACTCTAGAAACTGGCATGGAAAGTAGGGCAAGACGAGTCCCACCAAGGAACCTGCATAATGCAACAAAATGCAGAGGGCACATAGTTCATCTGCCAGTTACACGAAGTCCACAAAGACAAAGGTGTGTATGTATGTGGTGCTCCACACAACAACAAGGCTGTTAGGTACTACTGAGTGCTTTGATACTGTTCAAAACTAGAGTAGATTTCTGAACTGAAACAGCATCAAAGCAGCTTAAATAGCTGCTGTAAGTATGTTTAAATAGGAAAAATGGTATACAAAGAAATAAAAATCTCATGTGGAATAAAAACATCCTGTTGGATAATTTCACCTCAGTTTGGAATGCTGTTTTGAAATTTTAGGAAGTTCTAAACTGTGCTTTGCTGAGAAGTTGGAATAGTCATTCTTCATGGATCAGACAACCATACTTTCTGAGATTTACAAGTGCAAGATCTCTGGTAGGCATCCTGAACGTGAGCTGTTTGGATTTTTAAAGTTATATGCTTGAAAAATCAGGTTATAATTTCACAGACTCTAAAACTTCTTATTAAAGGTTTATTTAATCTTAATTTCCATCTTACTGATATAAGATTAGAAGGCAACAGTACTTTGTCTTCCCACAATTACTTGAAGATCAACAATCAGACTTCACTAAGCATTTTAACTGCCCCTGTTGCAGCAGGGGTTCTAGTCCTGCTGACTCAATGAGATTGGGTAGTGAAGCACAGGCTTCTGCTGCAGCAGTGTTAAGTGCGCTTCCTGTGAGAAATGGTCTCGTCTGTAAAAAGCAAGCTTCGAAACTGTTAAAGCAAGGTAAACAACATATATAACAAACACAGCACATCTGAACTAAACTTGAAGTTCATAACCATAGTCACCTGCCTAAAGCTCAATTTTCAGACAAATCATTCATAGCAGATTGAGTTTAAAAAAATCACTGTAGGTTTGACAGACAGTGTATGTAAAAGAAAGACCTACAAAGTGAAAGCATCCAAACGCCATTTCGTACTCTACTGAAGGATACCATCTCCTTCCTCCCCTCGCTCTCACCCCCCCTTATTGAGGAGTTATGTGCAGAAGGCTAAGGCTCCTCTACTTCATCTAAATTTTATCAAAAATGGTTTAAGTTAAAAGCCTCTAATTTAGCACACTCATACAGTACCACCAAATGGAATACATATTGCAGTCTAACCCCACTGAGCATAGATAGATACTCATAAGTAATAAAAAATAGACTTCACTAAACAGAAGCCAGCCTGCTCTGATAAACCAGCATTTACATGATTAAGCACAGAATAAGTGTGACCACAAGCTCAGTACAGTGGTGCCAAGTTGATACTCATAGAACAAGCAGCTGCTTTTTGAGCAGCAGCTGTCAGATGATGATTGTCGTTATCAGTTATTCAGTGCAACAGGTACAGCAACAGCACAATAATTCTGCAGCTGTTTCTTGCTCTGAAAGTTAGTATTTTATTACAGATAACCTTGAAAGCAGCAATGAAAATTAAGAATCAGCAGATGTACTAATTTTTTTTTGAAGCTTCTGTATGCAGACAATACTTGGCATTTGTCTGTCTGAAGCATCCACACCCAATAGTGCTGCTTACCACACCCACTTGCCTTTCTGTTGCCCATTTTAACATATTTATTTTGGTACAAGTATTGACTTAATAAAATAAATGCAAAGGCACCTCCATCACACCTTTCAAGTTCCCCCTCCCTTCCCTCTCCTCCTCCCATTCCCTCCTCCCAGCACCACCTCCTTGTGGTTTGGAGGACTTTAGATCTTTTAAAAGTAAGGGGCAGATTATTCATAACCAATATCAATAAAATAAGAGTTTGTTCTGATTGCCAGTATGCAAAGCCCCCCTCCCCCTCAAAACAAGTAAATGGAAACTCATTAGAAAGATTCCCAAAAGGGGAATTGTTTAAAAATTTGGGTAGCTATATTTAAAAGCCTCTTCAAATGTTATGGCTCCAACTAGACACCCCACTGTGAGGTAGGTAGCCAAGATAAAAATACTTTAACAAATATTTCAACAGCTGGAAACTCCCTATAAAAACCTTGCATAAATGGTTTGGTTCCTTGCACCAGTGTCCTGATATGCATAACTTCTTGTGAAGATGCCCAAGTTGAATCCAAATTCACCGAGCTCTGGCCGAGTAGCATCTCATATACTCTGTCATCCAGGGGTTATCTGGTGGGGAAGGCTTTATCCGCCAAGCTTTCTCTGCCTCTGCTGATCGTACTCGCCGCTGTGAAAGCTTCCTTTTCTCCACTTGTCTCCTGTTCTTCGCTCGTAGAGCAGATTCGTGAATCTAGAAGATCAGAGTTAGCATTACAAGCAGGAAAATGGACTAGGAACCTCACAGCAAAGTCAAGGGTCACCTCCGCTTCATCCCTACCCCCAGTGTGAAGAAACAGTTTGCTACCAAAAAACTTACCTCTGGAATTTGCACCACTATCCAAAAGTCATGTGCATTTCCATTAAATAAATGCCTCAAATTCTATTCTGCATTTTTCTGATTCTGTGCTGCTAAGTACGTAAACATTCAAAATGTTTGTCTTAATCTTACTCTGACATTCAATAACCTGCTTTCTCATCTTGCTACTGTTTAGAATTCTTAATTATCCTTCAGTACACCCAAGCAACCCTTAACAATCTAAGCTCAGTACTACGATCAGTTGTTATAGACTCCTTATAAGGCACTTAAGAGCTTCTTAATCTTCAGAACATGCCACAGAAATACATGTTTTTGTGTTAAGAAATTATATAAATTTCCTTAACTATGGTCTCAAGAGCCAACCTCTATGCTTGCTGATTTCTATCACAAGATTTTAAGATCTCCCATGTCAGATAAGAGTAACAACTTGAAAATATTCAGGAAAAGTAACCTAACCAGGCAGTAAGCAGACCTTCGTTACAGAAGCATCACTAGTGGCAGTGCTGCCTGCATGGCCGAGATAACTGGAAGTGTTTCAGAGGAGTCGTTCCATTCACTACAATCCAGAGACCTGATCTTTAGAGTTCTGTACCCTTCTTTCTAGTACAAGTATTAGTAAAAGTCTTTCAAAGCATCAGTTAATGCTCAAGTTGGACATCAACATATGTCAGGCTTCAGCAAAGCATCAGTCAGCCATTACCACCACTGACCTAAGCTTATTGATCCAGTAACAGCACCCATTACCAGGATGAGCAGCTTGTTTCAAAAGCTACAGGACCCATCTTATTTCCTTAAGAGGAGAGCCATCCAGAAAGAAAAAAAGACTACACTTGAAATCCCTTCCAGAACAGCCCATTGGAAGTCAGGCTTCAGATGTCTTGGGTCATAGATTCAGGTTCTGCATTACTAGTATGACAATGACAAGATGCTGGAAAGAGTGAATCAGTGTATCTTACCAGGAGAGTTCTGGAACTGAAAAGATCAGTTTTAGCACTCCAAACTTATCATTTCTTGTTAAATAAGGAAATGACATTTTAGAACCTAATTCTTTTGTTGCCCATGGCCACGTGAATTTTACATGTGCTGCTGTGCTAATATTTACATCAGCCCTGCAGTCCATCAGACACTGACAGCCTGCTCTGCTACCAAAGCTCCCCACTGGCAACATGCTGAAACAGCCTGCTGGACAACTTAGCAGTGAAACACTGGGGCTCCTATTCCTGAATACTGCTGCAGAAAGAGTTGCTTATTCACAGCCCAGCACTATACCCATGTTTATCTACCTGCCTGTTTTGGGATGCTTGGTGCTAACTGCCTGCTGCTTTTCTCTTGTTCAGAATGCAGAAATACGTTTTGAACTGCCAGTTTTGCTGGTAGCACTGAAATAGTCAGAAACAAGATAGCCAAGCATTAATCAGATTCTTAAAGTATTAGTAAAACGCAGAGAGTTCAAGACAAATAAACAGTTAAAAGTTACTCAGGTTGGACATGCCAAGCATCTTTAGTATTAAATGAAGTTACAGCAGTAAACCTAATGACAGTACTGTACTGTCAGACCTATCAACAGCTGAAGTATACTTCTCTGCTTTCCTCTGCTTCTCCCTCCATACCTAACCCAAGTTCTCGACTGCCATACGAAGATGTTAACTTCAATGACAGCTGCATTAGAAAGGACTACAGATCACAGCTCTACCCCTGAAGCACACTCTACTAGAAAATGCTGATACCTGCTGTGACCAGTATGAATGCACATGTATGGGAACTGCTGAGTCACGGCCTGAACCTCTGATTGATCACCTGAGGCGAGCCATGGGTCAGCCAGAGGAGCACAGCTGAAGGCAATTCAGCTGTGCTGCCGGAAGGGGTGGAGCCAGGCTCCACCCCTCCTAGACCTATTTAAGAGCTGGCTACCAGTGCGGAAGGATCTCATCTGGAGACCACCTCTACTGGTGTTTTGTAAGTGAGCCCAGGATACAGGTAAGCTTTCTATCTATCCTCTTTTCATTATCATTATCTGCTTTGCCAAACTCTCTAGTTTATTTCATAATTATAACATCTTAATATTCATTGATTATACAGCACATAACCAATACTCAACCTAGAAGTGGCATCAATCACCTTTCATCCCATACCTGTCTTTTTCTTATGGCACTGTTTATCACAGCTGTGGGCAGATGTGTTCCTGCCTGATGAAACCTCCGTTTCCTAGAGGTAGAAGGGTTCTATGCATCCTAGAAGTTCTGTGCATTCAGTCCTCCATTGTATTCTTGTACCTATAGGCCTTTAATGTGGCAACTACTATTTCATTTTGATGAGGAGAAAGAAAAGCCATTTCTGTCTCTTCAAAACAACTCACTTGCTGTTTTTTCCAAGAAAACGCTCTGTTACAGACCCAAATGGATATGATGGAAAACTGCCCATCTCTGGGAAACCCATCAGAAGATTCTGCAGCACCCCAAACTAGGCATCCAGACATGGGTTTTGATACTTTGAAGGCCTTTTCACACACGAAAACACCACAGCCTAGAAGGGCTATCTGAAAGAATTCATGTACAGTCTCAATCACAACTAAACCTGTAACAATGACACCAGTTCAAAGGAACTGAGTGGAATAAGCCCCTAACTTCATTCTGGCACAACTGCAAGCTAGTATTTGTAGGACACTATCACTACAGCAAAACACAGAGGCTGCTGAAAGTCTTTACAATTCCCTACATGATCACAAATAAAAGAACCTCTGAAAAGTTTTTATCTAGATACTAGCAATGTCTTTTCCAGGCACTAAGTCAGTTCTCTCACTTAAACAGCAGCTTTTACTTACTTCATTCACTGAAGCAGAAGCACAGACATTGTGAGTTTTCTGGCTTCCAGTATCTGTCTGTCTTTCTCCCCACCCATAGAGAGCAAATGGATGTTTATTCTCCTTTGGTCCATCTGTCTTCTGAGGACTTCTGGTTGATCTTCGATCGTTACGACTGGACAAGGCACTTTGGCTTGGACGTCGTCCTGTACGGCTGGTTTTATCTGCATCCTTCGTGGAAGTTTTATCTGCTTCCTTTGTGGAAGTATGTTCTACAGTTTTTTCTTGCTCTTCTTTCTGATGCTTTTCTTGATCTTGTCTTTCTTTTTCTGAAAAAAAATTAAGTTCTGCTTTAAGTTTCAATGACAACATGATATTGTTTAATCTGCACTGCCCCTCTCAGTACAGATCTCAAGATCTCTCAAGAAAACTGTGCTTTTTTTTTTTTTAAGAAAGAAGTCATTAATTCCTTAGCATTAGAGGCATGCCTTGCTTAAATGCTTTCACTCTTTAGCAACCAGTATTTTCAAGCCTGTCCTTCAATACTGCCACATTTAAACACACCTTTCACTAGTGAGGCTACAGATGCCTAATAGCTCCAAGCAGTGCTGTACATGCACTAAGATTGTTTCCAGTGCTCTCCTTTCTTCACTGTTTCATCCTTCTATCTTTCAGACAGCAAGCAGATGGACTGCTAAGTAGCAGGTAGATGCTGCCAGCCAGAGAATAATCTCTCATACTATAAGCTTTGACTGAAAGAAGTGATTCCTTTTCGAACTCCCTGATTATTCATACAGGCATCGATTGTTTGCGTGCAGAGGAAAGAGGAGTATGATGCTACTGGTTATGGAAAGATTCCTGCACTGGTGTTGAATGAAATAATCTAGTTTAAGGCTTGCTTGCATATTGCAGTGTTGACCACAGACAATAACAAATTTTACTTAAGTACTGTCATTAAAAGCAGAAGGACTTGCCCATCCGTACGACACAACAAGGATCATTCATGCTAATTGCTTTGATTTAGCAAATCACCTTCATGCATGAGCAATCTGACACTGCTTTAGTTTCATTACAGCATCCAGCCAGCTTTGCCAGAACAGACATAACCTACCTAGCACACTGATTACCAATCCAGTAGTGCTTTTGATCCTTGCAGCACAGAGGTATTCCCTTGCAAAAGCTTATTACCCACAAGTTTCTCTACGCTGCCACTCCTAAGAGGGGACTGGTTTGGTCCTCCTTCTGCATATCACACCACTGGTTTGAGCACTTTTTTGAGCACTGCAGTGATATTTCAGAAAGACACTGAAGGAAGGCATATTGTTGTTGAATCTGATAAGAGTGCTTTTGTTTTGGTATGTCAAACCTTGCCTTCAAGGAAAAACCTTCCATGTCTACAGCAGAACAGAGATGGCATTTAAAGCCTTCAAATTAAAGAAAAGAGGGGAGTCTCCATGATTGCATTGGGAGCATAGCTTTAAGTTATTACTTCAAGGCAACAGACAAGCCTGGATACAGCTCGCTCAGATAACAGTCCCAGCTGGTGCAGAAATGATGAAGCCAACTTGTCCCAAAATAGCTATAAAAGCATATGACTAAGTGGCATGCAGAATCTTGTACAGTCTTGCAGTAAATGCTGTATACCAGAGTATACTTTGGCACCTTACGTGCACCTGCTATTACAGCAGGTATTTTAATGAGCTCACTCCCACAGTTCACATATATAAAACTCAGAAGGTACAAGGTGGATGCTTTAAACAGCCAATTACAATTTATATCCAAGCTATTTTGCTAGGCACTCCTTGCAGCAAGGAGAAAAGCAGCAGTTATAGCAAGGGAGGAACCAAACCCAGCTACTCAGGAAGCCCAACTGTCAGCAAAATCTATCTCCTTCCCCCATAGTGTGCCAGCTCAGGCAGGCACTGCTAAATGCATGCTGCGAATAGAAAAGGAAACTCAACTGACTTGCTGGGGCATTACAGGGATTAGCCAGCATAGGGAAAAAGCTAGGAACATTTAAAAACCGCATCATGGATGCTAAACAGAGCACACTGGACAGGAGGGGATTAAGTGCTTAGCAGCAGAACCAGGCTGCCAGGCCCACCCAACACAGCAGTAGAAAGCTCCTGCCCAGAAGAGGTCACTTGAGTCCTCCTGCATCACCCAACTTACATAACAGCTCCTCTCCAGTGGCCTGAAGAGGAGCTGATGGTGCTTTCCCCGCCTTCTAAAGCTGTGCATGCTCTACCAGGCTGATGAGACCTCCAAGGCAAAGGCTCTGCTGACTTGCTGGAGGTACCAACCTTCTGGTCAGATACACAAGTCTGAGAGGTCAGCGCTACTATCTTTACATAGAAGTGTTTGCCCCTTACTACCTCAGGTTTGGAAGCATTTTGTAATAAAGCAGGAAAAACTGGGTCATCTTAACTGCTCCCAGTCATCTCGAGAGCTACCCTGTTCAAACACACCAGCTCCCAGAACAGGTACCAAACAAGCAGTCTCCTACACACCATGACAGCTTGAGCAGGTCCCAACTGCGCAGGTCTTCAAGGCCTGAAGAGGGGCACTAACTGACTACAGCTGGGCAGAAAATAGTTACTATTTACTACAGCTGAAACAGGCTGCAGCAGCATTGCTTCAAGATCAGTCTCATGTGAGGCACTGGCACAGTATCTGAGTGACCAGCAACACAGCAGTTGAGTTGATTAGATTCACCAGCTGAAGAAAGTTGTACCTAGCTTGACTTGACAGCAAAACTTGTTTCAACCCAAAAGACACTGAAGTATCCTTGAATCACTGTAAATTCCTGAACTGACACTGTTAGTCGTTTTCTCCACCATCAGCCACCACTCCCTGGGCAGCTGGGTCAGCAAGCATTCCTACAGCATCATGACAGATCAGGGAACAAGTTTGAGACTGGGTCTTCTACCCAGATGCACTAATCCAGTCTATTGTGTGGCAACTGTTTTGACACAAAGTTGTCACTGCTGTCATTTAAAACTTCTGTATAAAGTGCTATGAAGGCAAAAAAGTCATAATAAGGCTGGAAAGATGGCCTAATCCTGGATGTGTGTGCAACAGTATCATTTCACAAGGAGCAGGTTTGCTTGCAGTACTGCTGCCAAGAGCTCCTGTCATTCACTTACCAGACCATGGGGTTGACAGCTTTGAGTATGTGTCAACTAGACCAGTTGATTTCGGTCAGGATTTTACTGGATCATGTCCAGGCCCAAATGCATTCTACAGAGCAGTCTAAGTTTAAAAAAAAAAAAAAACAAAAAAAAACACCACACAAAACAGGTAATTGTTTCTTGAAGAAAAACACTGCATGTGTGATTTCAGCAACATTACTGCTGGCCAAGCACACTCCGCCACAAACTCTTAGCAGAAATCTGGTTCCCTCCAGAAGAGAGAGAAGCATCAGTAGCCAGGTAACAACCCAACCAGGATGCTGCAGCATGTGGGTGGGTGTCAGATTCAGAAGACAAAAAACATCACTGACATTAGCACACTCACTGCTCCCACAGCATTTCAGTGTAATTAAGTCCTTTCAGAAAACAAGCAGTCTAATAATGAAAGATTCACGGGGTGGTGGTTTGTATGTTATATCCTCTGTGCTTTTTAATTATGAAGTCACTGAACAAAAGAAAATAGCACCTTCATAATTGCTTAATACCGAGTCGCTTGCTTTCTGATTGTACAGTAAGCTGTCCATGAATATACAATAAATTTCCACTTAATCCAGCTGCTAAAGCTGTATTGCTTTTAGATCTTCTGCTAAAGCTTTTAAAATGCCTGCAGAAAGTCACTCTGCAAAGACATGAAGATCAGATACAGGTTTTCCCTCCCATAGTAAATGGGAAGAACCTCAGAAAGAATCAGGTACTCTCTTACAGCAGCCACAAACCTTACTACTGCTGCCTAAAGCCTCCGCGTTGCTCAGGTCAGTACTGCTGGCTAGGATAAGCAAAGGTGAAGAGACATCCACACGTGCCAGAACCAGACCACACACACCATTACTGACTACAGAATATGCTTATATGAGCACATCTGCAACTAACAACTTCTTACCTGCTGCTAAAGCAGACCTCAATGGAATCAAGCTACCAAGGAACTCTGGCCTGGTCTCATCCCAGTGAGCTGCTCCCATCACTGTATGGCTTTGGAGGGATGGAGTGTTTTACCCTGGCAGCCAGCATCTGTGCGTACCTCAGCTCCTTCAACTCGAATAGACCTTGTTCTTAAGAGCATCCCTAACCACTCCTGTCACCTTGGCATTTTCTCCCAACACTGAGGAGCTGTGTGTCAGCTCAACAGCATTTTAGCAGGCATATAACAGCCGGGTGGCACACAGGCCCACGCTGCTGTGAGGACTGCATCTCTACGCTCACTCAGGGTTACTGACTCACTGCAAAACCAAGACCACAGAGCTCGGGTATCAGCAGGAACCCAGTGTTCAGCAAAGACAAAAGAATGTCACACGCAGGTCCAGGGAAGCAGTAACATTGTGTGCCAGTCACTGGCACACAGCCTAGCTTGGTGCTGCCGCTTTCGCCAGAGAACCTGCTTATATAATTGCAGGGATGCGCTGCTCCCATGGCAACCGTTTACATAAGCGGCTGTGAGTCAGGATGAGTTACCACAACGCTCTTCTTTAAAGGGACGCCCAGCTTCTCAGCGTTGCGGGTCCCTGAGGTTCCACAGCCGCAGCTCACGGATAGGCTTCTCCCTGAGAAGCTCCCGGCCCAGATTTCTCTACAGCACACAGAGCAGGACGCGCAATACTCTCGCCCTATTCGCTGCACGCGGAACCCCAAGCAGCTCGCCCACACTGCGGCACCACCAGGGCCGGGCCTCCCCCGCCAGCCACGGCCACGCACCTGACCCGGCCGCGCCTTCCCAGGGAGGCACACAGCCACAGCCGCCACAGCCATCCCAGCCATCCCCCCGCTCCTACCGGGGCCGGCCCGTTCCGCCTCCGCCGCTTCCTCCTCCTGCGCGGGCGGAGGGCTGCCCGCTCCCGGCGGCGAGGGGGACCCGGCGGTGCTGCTGCCGCTGCCGCCGACGCTGTCCTGCTCCCAGCCGTCCCACAGCCAGGGCCGGTGCGCCTGCTCCAGGAGGCGGCGGCTGAGGCGGTAGCGCAGCAGTTCCAGGTAGCAGGCGCCGCACGACTCCCACTTGGGCTCCTTGAAGCGCTTCATGTACTCCGTCTTCACGCGCCGCGCCGGCACCACCATGGCGGGGCCGGGAGGGGAACGGGAGCGGCACAGGCACGGAACGGCGCGTAGCGCTGCGCCGCAGGCCGAGCCCGCCCCTCCCGCTGCAACGTTTAAATCCAAACAGCGGCGCCCGGCCCCGCCCCTCCCGCCGCGCCAATCGCGGCGCGACGCCGCCGACACCCCCCGGAGCCTCCTCGCGTCGCCTGGCGACAGCGCCACCCAGTGGTGGGGTGTGCGCCGGGCCGTGCAGTGAGGCTGAACGGCGCCCTGCTCCGACACAGGGGGGCACTGACGGCTTTCAGGAGCGCGGCGGGAGGCTCTCCTACTTTTAGGCAGCGGGCAAACGTCGTTCTCCTCTCGCCTTGCTACGGTGAAGGCCGGCTCGCCCGAACCAGCGTAAATGAGATCGCTGGAGCCGGCAGAGACACCCGAGATATACAGTCCTCCCGCCGATCGATCCGTGCCGCCCTGGCGCAGGCAAACCACACGGCTTCCCGTTTAACACGTGTCCGTCACCCCCCCGGGCTCTGGTGGCCGCCCGCTGTGTCGCTGCCACCCACCGCCGCCGCCCAGCTGTGCCCTCGCCCAGCTGCGGGGCTGACGCGGCCGCCTGGGCCAGGGAGGAGCACAGATTGCTCCCCAGTAAACCAGGGATGTATGGGCAGATGACATTTATGGTAGATGACAGGTCTGGGTTCGCAGCATCTGCCTTCTGTCCGGAAGCAGTAATTGTGTGCTCAATGGCATTCTGAACCACCCTGCAAAGCACTGGCTGGGCGGCTGGGATTGTGAGCTGGCTCCTGGAGCACCGGCTCCTCTCCTCCTGTGCACTGCCTCTCCTCAGAGGAAACAACCCTCTGCGGAGGCAGACATGGCCATACACAGGGAGCACAGGCACCCCAGTGCCCACAGATCTCACAGCCATTAACTCGTGCTTCAGCCTTCACATAGGGACACCAGAACCACAACAGCAGGCCGGCTCGCTGCCAGCTCCACCTTCAGCACTTTCATTCAGGGCAGGCCACAGGACGTCAGCACTTTGCAAACAGCACCTGATTGCTGTTATGAGCCCTCACCTTCTTTGTGCCAGCCTTTTTGAGGGCCATTTTCCCTCGCTGCCATGAAAGCGAGCGCCCAGCTGTCCATACACTCCAGTTTGTCCTGGATCTCTTGCAATACATCCCCCAGTGATGGGCAGATTGGCAGCAGGCACGCTTGAGAACTAACTAGGGACAGTTTGTGTAAAAGGCCTGCCACAGAAGCCTGTGGAGACACCCAGCTGTGCCTATGCTATGCCAACAGCCACACCTTACCCACGCACGTTCCTCATGGCCCTCCACAGCCTTCCCTAAGGAGTTATGGGACAGGGCCCCTAAGGCCAGTCAGCAGGGCCCAACATGCCTCAGGCCAGCCATCACCCCTACCCAACCCTGAGGTGTTGTTTGCGGCTCTGGGGGAAGACATTGAGCTAGATGACAGAGATTAAAGGCAACTCCTGTGAGAGCCTCTTAGCACAGCTCCATGCACACACGCAGGGATTGCTCCAGCTCCTCAGCACAGCAGCTCTGGATGTGCTCAGCGTAGCTATGTAAACATTTATTTCTTTAATCCTAATGAGTTTTGGCTTCAGTGCCTCATGGCAGAGATCTACATACACAGGCTGAGAGTAGCCGGTTATTGAGTAGCTTCAGCTCCACAGATGCCTGAATGAAGAACTACAGTATTTATAAGAATTTCCTCCCTCACATATTTTGCTGTTGTTTTCCTTCATTAAAAATCTGGAGACATCATTTGAACATGAACATGAATTCTAAACATGCTTTTCACTTTTAAAGGCCTTTTCCCAGGAGGGCCTTAGTTCTGCCTCTAGTCCCCATCATTGGCTTCTTGCAGGTGGCAGGCCAGGTGAGTCAGGAGCTCCACGTGCTGATGGCAGAGCTGGCATCAGATCCCACAGCCCAGCCTTCCTCCATGCTCTGTAGCAGCAAGTGCTAGAGGAGGATCAGTGGACTTGCCCATATCTTCTCCTTTTTACTGTTATCAGCCATTTTTTCCCACTTTTCTGCTCCTCAAGCACTACAGTGCTGTACATCATTGCTGCCAGGTCAAGGAGGTCCCTGCAAGAAACAGACCTTAGAGCCAGAAGCAGGGTGATGGCCAGGGTGCCAGCCCCAGCAGCACCCCTGCAGTCTGCCCACTGAGCCTGACACAACCTAGGCCTTCACCCAGCCAGGAGAGAGGCAGGGCAAGCAGGAGAGACTTCCCACCTGCCCACCTTCCTCCTCCCCACAGAGAGCCCTGCTGGGGAGGTGCAGAGGGCATGCAGCCATGGTTTGGTGAGCAGCGTCCCTAATATGGCCTCGGCTGCGCTGACTGGCTGGGGGCTCCTGCTGCAGGAATGCAGCCCTGTATAAAAGCCCCCACGAAGGCAAACCATGCTGGGTGCTAGCAGGGAAAGAGCAAGACTGGCTCAATATGGGAATTGTGCCTGCCTCCTGGAGGCTGTCCAGGCTCTCTTGGGTTTCAGGCAGCATGCAGTGGCTGGGTACAACCAACAGTGACTGGGATGCAGTGGACACTGGCAGAGAGAGCCCATCTTCATGCAGCTTTACTTTTGGGGGTTACCTTCTAACACCCAGCCCTTGTCCTGAGCTCCCTGCCCTGCTCCAGCTGCAGCAGCAGCAAGGCATGCTCCAGTACAGCTGCACCAGCTGCATAGCCATGACCTGCTCATACTGCTGCTTTCCTCAAACTTCACTCTTTTATATCTCCCAACTTTGTTCTAGTTCCAGTTCTTGTCTTCCTCCATTCCTTCCATTCAGAGGAAAAGAAGTCCTTTGCCCTTGTCTCCCCAAGGTGAGCATTCAAGAAAGGAGCTTTGTCCCCTTTCATATGGTGGGGAAGGGGCTCTTTGAATTTGCTGCTCTCCTCATTTTCCATACCCAAGTGACTCACCTGTCCCTCCCCCAAAACACAGAGCAATGCAACCTTGTCAGACCCTTCCTTCAGCAACCACAGCTTCTCCCCTCCACTGCAGGATCCACAAAGGCTTTACCTGTCCTTTCATTTTTCTGCCTTCACCCAAATGCTGTCCACATGTTACAGTCATTCCCTTATCCCACCCACATCTCAAACAGCCCAAGAAGCTGTGAGTCTGGGCCCAGCTGCTCTGCTCTGCTGCTCTCCAGAGTGCATGCACGTCTCCTCCTGCAAAGGACACGCTCCTGAGGACACCCCAGATGCTCAGAGTAATGCCCGAGCCAGGGACCTGCTGGAACACCCACACCAAAAGGGGTGACACCACTTAGCAGGGATGGCACAAATAAGTCTGCTCAGATGGTGCTCTTCTGAACAAAGCTTCCTTGCACTGGAGCATGAAAAGAAAAAACGAGAAAAAAAAAAAAAAGGCAAAGAAACAAAAATGGTTTACCCATTCCAGAGAGCAAGTCTCTGCCTTGCTGAGAAACACTCAGTCATTTGCTGCTGACTGCACAGCAGTGGCAGAGAGAGCCATAAACGTGCTGG